TACTTTCCGTAATTTATCGCTTTCATATAAATGCTAGTAACTTAGGGTTTGTATGGAAAGATAAAATCAATGCTTAGAAAATCCTAATCCAAGACCAAATCAAGCATGAAAAAAATAAACACTTTCATACTTGCACCTCTAGGGTTAACTCCACTTGTTGCCTTATGAAAAATGGTCATGTTATGTATGTGAGACGTCTTAGGAAAAACAATAAAAAAATACAAGATCATAGTCCCTCGATGATGCTACGAATGTTGCCTTATAAAAGATCTTAGTCCCTCAAGATACATGCTAAGATATCTCACAATATTTATATTCATGACTATACGATGACCCACACTCATCCCCTTACATCCAAAGATAAGGCCTTTTACCAATCAATAGTAAGATAGCAATATCAAAGGAAGGAATGAACAAAAGACTTTTGAGTAGGTATAACGTTCTTAGTTGCTTGCACACAATCCATCTTCAAAACAAATATCTTTTCAAACACACCAAACACTTTCAAAAACATGAAATATTTTCAAAAGTCCAACACTTTGTATGCATTCTTATAGAGACGAGAATCGTTACAAAGTTTTCCTAAACGAAGGCGCTTTTTAAAAATAGTTTCAAAATCCACCACAAATACATTTCAAACAAAATCAATTTCGAAAGTGATCTAGCAAACAACTAAGATCCCATAAATAACTATGGATGAAGAGGGTGCTAACACCTTCCCTTTTCATAACCTACCCCCCGAACTCAATAAAATATCTCAAAGGTCTTTTCTGTTATTTTCACTCTTTCCTTATTGGATAAAAGAAAAGTTGGTGGCGGCTCTTGCTATCCGCAACAATTGCGATCAAACGCAAAACAACCAAGTCAGTTCTCCCATCATATTACAGAAGGTTTCTTGTTACTCCTCCAAAATCAGGATAATCATTATCAATTTTCGACCACTTTGGTGAATCTTCTGGATGTCGAAACTTTCCATCAATAATTCTTTCATCTGCATGCCAAGTCAAGTGTCTTACATCGGTTTCACTATGAAACATGTGTCTAAATCTCAGAATTATAGGAAAATACCATAAGACTTTTCCTGGAGACAATTTTTTCTTATATCGAGATAAACCGCATTTATGGCACTCATTTAATGATGCATATTCGTTTCGAAACAAAATGCAATCATTTGGACAAGCATGTATCTTATCATAGCTCATGCCAATAGAGAACAACATTTTTTTGGCCTCATAGGTTCGATTAGGAAGAACATTATCCTCCAGAAGCATATCTCTCATAATGGCTAATAACTCTGTGAAACTTTTATTCGACCATCCATTTCCCGCCTTTAAGTTGTACAACTTTAATACCGCAGACAGTCTTGTGAATTTAGTATAACATTTATATAACGGTTTCTCTGCATCGCTTACCAACCTCTCAAACATTTTGGGACAATCCTGAAGATCTTCTTCAAGTTCTTCTGCAATCTCTTCGACTCGATCACAACCATATGTATATGTGTCATTGTCGTCTGAATCATATGTCGTACTATCCCCCGGTTCAACATTCTCTTAACTTTTCTCACCATGGAATATCCAACATGTGTAACTTCGATCAATTCTACGCCTTAATAAATGTGATTGCAACCCAACTGCGTCAATCCGACCCACAAAACAACAACTTAAGCAAGGACATTTCATTCGATTCACATCTTCGGCATGTTCAACAACAAACTTAACGAATTCCAATATCCTATTCTCGTACTCTTTGGACAATTGATTGACAGACATCCATTTTTTATCCATGGTCTTACTATTAAGTAAGCTAAACAAAAACAATACTTAAAAAAAGGACAGAGACTAAAAAACTTAATACCAATTAGGCATATTCATCGAAAATAAAAATACTATAATTATTCAAGCAACTATAGAAAATTAAAAGAACAACTAAATACCTGTAGAGAAGTCAGCAACTTCTAAAACCACACAGTGTAATATTCTTGGAAATGCTCAGAAACTCCACTCTTCACAAGTAACCTATATAAATGATCAATTAATTTCATTATAATAAAAAAAATCTATAGAATAAGAATTACATTAGAATATTTATACAACATTAAACATATATATACACCATTTAATAATCATTAATATTCTTTTTAACATATATTTTACTAATATTAACCTATATTAACCTATAAAACAATATTATAACTAATATAAATATTATCACTATATTAACCTATATTAATCACCAATAAAACAATATTAACCTATAAAAATATTATCACTAATATTTATATTATCATTTCAACTTTACATTATCATCAAATAATCACTTATATTATCAATTTTACACCATCAACTATATGAGTTCTTTCAATTTCATTTTCAACTATATGTGAAGTGCTTTCAATTTTAACACAATAAGTGTTATTACGACAACCTCTCAAACCAAAATGTGTAGCTTGATTAATTGTATAGGAACATATTTTCTCTCAATCAATACATGCAATATTCATTGTGACATTTACACAAACACCTTACATGCAAAACTCATTGTGATATTTTCACAAACACCTTACATTCAAAAATCACATGCCCCATAAAACACAACATAATGCAATATTATCAACACAATCAATACTAAATCAACACTATCAACTAAAAAAATGCAACATTATATATCAACATTATCAAATATATCAAAAATCATACCTAGATGAGAAGAGAACCTTGGTTGTGAATGGAAGAAAGGATGAAACGGTTAATGGAAGAAGGATGAGAAACTTGAAGCAAGGATGCAACGATTTCGTTCAGAATCAAACGAAAAAGCTCGTGAAAAATGGTTTCTTGTGTTCGTAACTGTGTTGTTTGTGAAAGGGTTTCTGTAAAATAATACCGTTACTGTGTAATAGTAATGTTGGGCGTGTTTTATTTTTTTATAACAGGACTTTAGGTAGCGCTTTGAAAAAGCACTGCGTAAGCCCACCCTTAGCCAACGCTTATAGTAGAAAGCGCTGCTTAATCCCCCCTTTAGGCAACGCTTTAACAAAACGCTTTGTAAGCCCCCCTTTAGGCAGCGCTTCTTCAAAGCGCTATAGTACCTACCCCCTTTAGCAGCGCTTTATAAAACCACATTATCCCCCTTTAGGCAGCACTTTCACAAAACGCTGCTTAAGCCCACCCTTTAGGCAACGCTTCTAAAAAGCACTTTGTAAGCCCACCTGTTAGGCAGCACTTCAGGACCTACCCCCTTTAGCAGCGCTTTATCAAACCATATTCACCCCCTTAGGCAGCGCTCTTTTAGAAAGCGTTGTCTAAGGTATACGACTAAATTCCTGTGTTTTTAAAATGAACTTTTAGCAACACTTTTGATAAGAAGCGCTGCATTGGGTGTGCTATCTAATCTTATTTTTGGCGTAGTACATTATAGTACCATCAAATTTAAACTAGGGAAAAATTCTACATTACTATCATATACATTATAGATGTACCATGAAATTTAAATTATTATAGTATCATCAAATTCCAAAACATTGTACCAACAAATAAAACTTCAAAATCTAAAACATCTAATATCATCAAACTAAAACCAATCAAACAAATAGAGTACCATAAAATTGTAAAGAACGTTGTACCAACAATTACAACTTTAAAACAAAACATTTGATGATGCCATCAAATCCAAAAGACAAACTAAATAAAGTGGAAGAAAATATCAAGTTAACCTCCATTATGTAAATCTAGAAGTAAGCATGAATCTTGGACTACTCGATCTCATTTGTGGTGATTGAGCCGAACATGAAGGGAGAAATAAATGTGTTGATGGTCAAATTGATGAAGTTTTAATTGTTGAAGGACGTCTAATGAAAGATGGTGGTGGCGCCTAACTAAAGGAGGTGATGACCTAACAAAATGAGGTGGTGGTGGCCTAATAGAAGGAGGAGGCTTTAAAATCATGAAAAATAATAATAAGGAGGAGGCCTAATAGAAGGAAGTGGAGGTGGTGATGGCCTCAAAATGTATTAAGTATCGCTAGTAATTAAAAAAATAATAAGAAAATATATTGATATAAGAGTTATTTACAAACTAAAGTATGAAAAATACAATGGTTTAGTGGTAGAAAAAATTGTCCATTGAGTCCTTGCTTCAATTCTTGTTACATGCAAATTTTTTGCCTTGGATTAAATAAGTACATTATTTTTCATGTTACATGCAAATTTTTTGCTAGAGATTAAATAAGTACATTATTTTTCTTAAAGATTAATTTGACATCTCCAATTTTTAATTTTTGTAAGAGATTAAAACAGATCTTTAACTTATGACATTATTTATAAGATTTTTTCAATTTATTTTCACAAGTTCTTCAAGATAACTAAACTTTGCTTTTATATTTTAATATAAAATAGAAAATAGGCCGGTCTCTGATAGACTTGAAAGACTTTTTTTATGGCATGTAGCCTAGCCTATTTAACTAAATAGGCTTATAAAAAAATCTAGACTTTTTCTACTTAAAAAAATCCTGGCTTGGCTTTGGCATGTGTAAGTTAGGTCGTATGTCCCTATAAGTTGGTCTGACCTATTCTCACTCCTAAATACGGGTTCGTTCGGATATGTATATCCGAAATTAAGTATTTTGTGAGAAAAAAAGGTTCATTCGTATATGTATATTCGAATTCAAAAGATATTACAGGAATTTCGTTAAAAATCTCTAAGAAGATATAAGGGTATATGAATAGATCCCCTAATGAGACCACTAATATGGAGAAACCGATTGATCGTGTGCCCAAACAAAGTAATTGAATAAATAGTAAAATGTTGTAAGGATTTAAGAAAATATGAACAGTATGTTAAACAAAAGTCAAAAAGTTGAATATACACACAAAAAAAAAAAAGAATGTTTACAAAATCTAGTATTTGCCAAAGGAAAAGAAAAGGCATTCTTACAATCTTGCATAATATCTTTACTAATATACCGAAATTGAGCTGCAGAAACTGAATTTTACATTCCCTGAATCAACGAGCTATGATTATTTCAGTTACAACCTCAACATCTGATCCATAAGTACAAGACCTCTCTAACAAAGTAGGAGAATGTTGAGTGAGAAGGGAAAGGCTAAGAACAACTTCTCCCATAGTTGGTCTTAACAAAGATTGTTCTTCAATGCAATTCACTGCCAAAGAGAACAAACTAAGAGCTTCAACAACATTAAAAAACCTCCCCAACTTGGGATCAATCCATCTTCTAACCCTTTCCTCGTTCTTCTCTTCTATATCAAACACACCCTTAATATCTTTCCATAACGTATTCACCTCGCTGTTCTTTCCTGTTAATAACTCTAACAGGACCACCCCGTAAGCGAAAACATCTACTTTTGTTATCATAGGATTCTTTGTAGTTTTTGCAACAGAAAAATTTGATATCTTGGCCTTAAAGTTTGAGTCGAGAAGGATGTTACTTGATGTGATGTCTCTATGGACTATGCTTGGTTCTATGTGTTCATGCATGTATTGCAGACCAATTGCAACATCAATTGCTATGCTTAACCTCTGATTCCATGTGAGGGAAATCACTGAGCTCGAAGCAGTGGAAAATTCAGAGAACAGCCAATTATAAAGTGATCCATTTTCAGCGTATTCATATACAAGAAAGTGATTTCCAACGTATCCTGAAGAAACACCAATTAGTTTAACAAGATTCGCATGATTTACCTTTTGAAGAATCATCAACTCTTCTGTGACTGTGATGTCTTCCTTGACGTTTTTCACAGCTAAAACACGACCGTCGATTTTAGCTTTGTACACGGATTTCCCTATCCTACACTGTTCATTGAAGTTCATTGTAGCTTCCATAATCATACCAGCTTGATACACTTTTGGCTTACTTACGTAGTTTGAAACTTCTGAAATTAACTTATCTGTTATCTCCACAGAAGGCACACACTTATTCTCACAAGCTTTTCTCTTCCTCAAACAATACACATAAACTAGTAATGACAGTGAAATCAGAATAGTGCATCCTAGACATATACCAATGAAAATGATAATAGGAAAATGATTGTTTTTCTTTCTTCCACTTGAAGAATAGTGTAATTGTGAAATAGCTGGTAAGCTTTTCACTGGGATAAAAACTGGAAGGTTGGTTGCGGAAGTAAAATTCTGGCCAAAATTGTTTGCATTTGCAGTGATTATGTCATGTTGTGATGCACCAAACTTGGAAGCTACAAGGGTAAGATTGTCATTAGGCCGCCAAACATATGTAATCAAAGACTCTATCCCTTTTGAAGGGCACCTACAGAACAAAGGAATGACTATTTTGGTGCCCACCGTCAACAAATATGGATTCAGGTTAGGATTTGAATCTTCCACTGTCATCCAATTGGTGAGATTCTGATATGAAATGGTTGAAAGATAGTAGTAACTTTCACCTTGTTTGATCAAGTGTGAGATATTAGCAAAAGAGTAGTTTCCATTTCCACTGCAGCCACAAGTTATAGGTATTAGCAAAAGTTGGCCTGGAACAAGGTTCATATTTTCATCTTTTATGCTACTTGCTCTTGCAATGGATTGTGGAGTGGTGTCAAATATATCAGATATGGTTGTGAGGGTTAAAAAATTTGGAAAGTGAGCCAAGTATGCAACATATGTGTCACAGGGAAGAGAGGAATTCATAGGGCATGTGAGGTTTGTTCCATTGGCAGAAAAGAACATAAGTGCGAGAAATAGTGAGTGAAGTGAAATGAAGGAAGAAACCATTGTTATCAGAAGGTGGGGAACAAATGAAAGGCACCAAGGAAGAGAAAAGGAAATCAGTATTAATCAGATTCAGCATTGTTGATAAAGTAGTGTGTTGGATTAATAAAATCAGCATGAGATTTTTGTCTATAGCTTTAACCTTAATTTCTTTTGTACTTTCCTACTAACACATTAGACATTTGTCATTTATGTTGACATTATGCAATTCATGCACACAAATGAAACTTCAGGGAAAATTCTATACTAGATTTTACTCTCAATGTTTCAGCTAAGAATATATAATTCGATTGAGTCTTCTAGTGACTAACCCATCTTAGGACGGCTAGTTGTCTTTGCTACCATTTTTATCTAAGGATCACGACATCTAGCAAGGCCACATACCAAACCTAAACACCCAACAATTGTTATCAGATGCACCTACAAAACTTCCCACCTCAAATGAATTGTATATTGTATCCTCTCCCAGATCAATCCCAGATGTACCTAATTGATTCTTAAGGTTGTTTGTATAAAAAAAAATCCTACTTGCTCCTCAGCTAAAATAAATATTGCATTAAATTCAAATATAATGTTGCCAAGGAGCTATCATATTTCATTACACAGCAAAGTAAAAGATCTATGATCTAGTAAGAAATAAGTCAATAACTTTATCATCCCTCAAATCATTATTCTTTTGAAAAGAGCATACTTAAAAGTAGCTAGTTTTTCAACAACAAAAAACTACATATCCATGCTTACAAGAAATTTTAATCTCTAAAATCTGTATTCAACATGCCCACAAAGCACAAGTGAGTATAAAGTTACAAAACTTGATTTATTCAATAGCAGAATATCAAGGATACTTATTTCTCATATCAAACCTTTTCTAAGGCTTCAAACTGAAATCTTAATGACCATAGACCATACATTATTACAACAATGAATAAGTATTCTTTTCAGCCTTTCAGTGTTTGCCACGTGTATATTTTAGCAGCATAACTTTATCTGTTAGTTATTCATTTAAAGCCCAATATACGTATATGTGGTTGTATACTATCTTATTCATCCATTCAATACAGAACTTTAGCTTTTCCTTATCTTTCCTTACTTTCTTCTTCTTGATATCATGTTGAGATATTCTATAGAATTTGTATGTCACTGCAACATTATTGACATGGTATCAGAGCTCACAAAGCTCTGATAGTCATTGTTCCTTCTTCTTCATTCACTTCCGCATTCTATGTCCATTGCTTGCTTCTTCTTCACCTTTTTTCCCTTTCAATGGCTACTCAGATTTACGCAGATTTTTTAACAAATTCCACAAACCCCTATTACTTGCATCTAAACGAAAACTCTTCTATTGTTCTGGTTTCCTATTACTCGATGATAAAAATTACCACACATGGTCCCGATCAATGCACATTGTATTGATCTCCAAGAACAAGGAAAGATTCATCAATGGAATCCTAACAAAACCTACAATTTCATACCCTTTATATGCACCATGGATTCGTTGCAATACCATGGTTCTTTTATGGCTTCATCGCTCGATTTCTGAGTCTATTTCCAAGTTTGTTCTCTGGATCGATACTGCATCTGGTGTTTGGCACAACTTGCATATTCGCTTTTCTCATAGCGATATTTTTCGCATTTCAGATATTCAAGAAGATTTATACAAGCTTCATCAAGGTACACTCGACGTCTCAAACTATTTCACACAGTTAAAGATTCTTTAGGATGAATTGGACAATTATCGTCATATTCTTGTGCCATTCCCTGTTCATGTGGTGCGATTGCTTCGATTAAAACATATCGAGAGCAAGATTGTGTGATTCATTTCCTTAAGGGATTGAATGAAAAATTTACCCACTCAAAGTCCTAGATTATGATGATGAATCCATTACCCGATATTGACAAGGCTTTCCCTCTTGTTATTCAACAAGAACGAGAACTGGATAACTTTGCATCAGTTGTTGCACCAGCAGCTAGCAACTTCGAGGAATCAGTTGCATTTCAGGTTCATACCAATTCTGGTAACTACAACAATAAATCTAACACTTTCAAGGGCAAAAATCAAAGCAATAATGGTGCTCGTGGACATAGTAGAATTTGCACGCATTGTGGCAAACAAACCACACAATTGAAACTTTCTTTGTTAAACATGGTTTTCCATCAGGATTCAGAGACAAAGGCAAATAGCAGGGCAATGGCAATGGCCAACAAGGAAGTTCTGCAATTAATAATGCATCAGAAACTCCTCAGTAAGATACATCTATAGTTCTGGTGGGATTTACTCATGAGCAATACAACACCATTTTAGAATTGATTCAGCATTCCGAGTTTAGTCCTAAAGCCAACTCTATTTCCACTTCCCCTTTTGTCATGCATTCCCACTCCTCTAACCCTAATGGTAAGAATCCCAATCTCTGGATCCTTGATACCGAGGCCACATATCATATCTCTTTTGACAAAACTATTTTTAAAAGTACCAAAATTATTATACTTGTTCATGTTAACTTGTCTGATGGGTCACATATCACTGTATCCATGTCTGATAGTGTTATTATCTCACCATCTTTAACATTGCATCATGTATTGTATATTCCAAATTTTCATGTTAATTTGATTTCAATAGCCAAACTTGTTAGTGGAAATAATTGTTATGTGCACTTCAATGCTGATTCCTGTCACATCCTACATAATCATTCCAAGGAAATGATTGGTTCAACTAAATTGAAAAGAGGGTTGTATGTTCTTTCATCTACTCATCAATCTGCCATTTATAGTTCCAATACCAATAACACTTGTAATCTTTGGCATTTACGTTTAAGCCACATTTATGGTATTGGTTTGAAAAATATTTCTAAAGTTTGTCCATTCATCTCTTGTACGAACAATAATGTTCCTTGTGAACCTTGTCATTTTGGTAAGTGATCGGGATTATACTTAGATATCCAATGATTCGGACTGCAAGTGCACAGTCTTGTCGTGTAGTTTTAAAAGATATCGAACCACAGAGACTGATAAATCGAACTACCGTCTTCTATTGTTACTTCGCAAATCTAAAGCTAATTAATGTTTGATTGGGTTGTAGGGAAAACTAAATACTAAATTAAGTTGGATTTTTAATAATCAATGAGCGGAACTACCAGTATGCAATAGTCGATCCTCGGGAACTAGCGACCGGTTGGGTGTCTTTATATTTTCAAAACAGCTTTCAGTAAAACTTATTTAGTTTAAAAACCCTCGTATCACATTGTCGTTTTGTTGATCTAGGCTATGAAGTTAAGTCCTAACGTACGCTTCCGCCATTTCGCAGGAGTTAAAAACACCTTTTGAAAACTAAATAAAATCTTAATTAAATTTAAAGTGTTTCCGCTGTATTTTAAGCTAATGCCTAATTGCTACTGTCTAGTTAAAAGATCTCAAGCTTCCGCTTTGTTGATCCTAACCTCTATATGTTCTTTACTTTCGTAACAAAACAATTTAATGATTAAAAATAGTAACTTAGACCAGAAAAGAAGATTTTGTAGAAAAAATAATCCCAACTGAGTCACTCGATCCCTTGGTTAGGTGACCTTACATACCGATATACAGATTCTAGCCTAACATAATATCTGACCAAATCACAGAATAATTCCAGAGACAAACAAGAATAAACATGATTATATTGATTAAAAGTAATAAAAATTCATAAATATAAACCTGGTAATAATTCTGGATATAGAAGCACTCCTGCACAAACTGTAGGCTTTGCTTCGATCGGGGAACAGATGTAACCGTACAATAAAAATAAATGCTAGAGGAAATATAGAAATTGTTGGGAAATGAATAATTCTTAACGAATATTTGCTTAGAGTAAAAATGAATTCTCCAAAGTTTCTGCCAAAAAAAAGAACTCCCTTTTTCATATGGTCCAAGGTCCTATTTATAACCCCTGTATGATAAGTTCGTTCTCGGTAATGTAGGAACACTTTGTGTTCCTTTGAGAAATAATAGGACCACTAAATTAGTTACGTTCTTCATGCATTGACCGAGTGGATCAGATAAATAGGGTGATCGTTGGATTTGCTTTTGAATTGTTTTCCTTCCGTTAGATACGTGGTCAAGAGGGAGAAAGTGGGCTTGTGACGTCCGTCAAGTCCAAGTGACGATGGTCACTTGGTCCATCACTTCGCGTGACGAGCGGCAACACTTCTTGACGATCGTCAAGGCCTTTTTCATGGTGGGCCACGTGCTCACATACGTGCTCACATGCTTTATGATGGGCTTAAGATGATTTCTTCTCCTTTGGCCCTTTTTGCTATCTTTGCACCTTTTTTTCTTCATTTCTTCCAAAGTGTTCAGCTTAATGTATATCTGCAAAAATAGAAAAATATATGCATAATACCTATAAAATAATTTAATTTAAACTAAAGTATAAGAAATATTTTGTGTATATTAAGCCAGAAATATCATATATTTGTGTGTCATCAAACTCCCCCATACTTAAACTTTGCTTGTCCCCAAGAAAATGCTAAGTACGATGTTTTTCTAAACATGGTCAGATGTACGGTTATGACTCGGATCAACTAATATATTGCTGCGTTGTGTTTTTGTCAGAAAATCGATGGCTCGATTCATGCTCCATTACTATGGCAATGACACTAGACAGTCCCATTTTACGTAAACTAGTTACAGGTCCTATCATAGTCTACCTCGAGTATTTGTCTTGTTTTGTCCTTTTCATTCTAGCGCAATCACATTAAGCCCTTTATCTTTGCACGCACATAGAAGAACAGTCGGTTAGTGGTTATGATCCTTTTAAACCTTAGAGGTTTCTGGTACAGTAATGTGGCAACCTTTTTCAATTCAATGGTTGGATGCGGGGGATCAGACCGTAATCTGCCCTACCGAGTTCAGTACCAGATGCTCCTGAACCATCTACCAAATTATTTTTCATGTTACTTTGTAAGTTTTACATCCTTTGGATTAGACGATCGGGTAAAGATCGTCCAATTTAATTGGTGTGTTTCCTTGCAACATTTTGCTGAAATATTATATCATCCACTTATATTCATCGACTTCCTGCGTAGTTTATGTTTAAGACGGTGATGACTGCTAATATAAACTACCCAGGGTTACTACAAAGACTAACACTCAGGGTGTTGGAATAACAGGTACTTGAACTGATCTATCATACTCTGGGGGTTGTAGAATGTCTAGACGGTAGAAATTTCGCTTAATCTTGCCACAATTCCTGACAATTAAAGATCTTGCAGTCTATGTATTTCTCAAGTGAGTCAAGGTTATGCTTTAAAAAAAATTATAGGGCTCAAAAAGAAAGGGGAGTCTAAAAGAACAATACAAAATGATTCAATAGATAACTTGATAAAAATTTTTTTTTGAATTAGAGATAACGGAAGAGAAATTACAAAGAAAATAAAAATTACTAGGAAAGGGAAATACTTCCTCCCCCATACTTGAATCATACATTCTCCTCAATGTATTAACAGAAGATGGAAAGGGGAAATGGAAACTAGACAATCATTCTTCCTCCTCTTGTCTTTGGAATCTGCCACGTGTCCTCGCTCTTCGACGTGCTTGCTCACCGTGTCTGGAAGATTCGCCTCCATTCCTCGGAGAAATGACGTTATGCAAGTCGTCAACACGTAGTGTTAAGGCTCGCATATCTTCCGTCATTCCTGCGGTGAATTCCAGCATACTTTGATCATGCCTGTGAGTGTAGTCGTTTTGGTCTCTTTACATTTGTTGCATGAGATTCATCATCTCAATTTGGCGCGTCTCGAGGCTCTAGTAGCGTTGAGTGGACAACTGGTTTTGCTGCATTATTGCGGCATAGATTGCGTCAATGGTGGCGGGGTTGTTGGCGTGTTGTGGTTGGGGATCTTGCTGCTCTAATTCTTCTTCGATTTCATCAGCGGCAGCATTGTTGGCCTCACCTTGATTTCCTTGCTCATTTGATCTGGGTTCTGGGGCATTCAGGTTGTAAAGCCAATTATCCGGATTGCCCAAATTTGTATGATTGTGATTCGGAATGATCACACTACGAACTGTTGCATTCTTCACCATTAGATAGTACCCTCCAGCTTCTCGCACTTTGATCAGGCGGCCAGCTCTACAGTTATCAATATCCATATAAACTGCTGGCAGCGAAGGTAGGAGTTGAATCCTTTCCCCCCAGTTCAGGTGAACTGCGATTGTGGTGACAATGCCTCCGACACAAAAAGGCGTAGTCCCATCTCTCGTAACTAGGTTTTGAATATGGGCCATCATCAAAGTAACGGGATTAAGACGAATGTCTTGTGAAAAGGTACAGTGAAGAGCATACAACTCTTTAGTGTTGACTTTGTTGTTGTTTGCCCTTCTAAGCACTGTGTTTGCCATAATGCGGTGTAAGAAGCGAATGTCCGGGTTGTGGATGTGAGAGGCGTAACGTGCTTCGGGAATAACATTTGGTTCACCGATTATTCTCTCCCATAGTGCGTATGCACTTCCATTCCAATCCAATTCCGGGGGAATGCGATATCACACATTATTTCCACGGGGAAAATGAAATATTTCGCTTAAATTTTCATGGCTAAGTGTGTACTCTCGGTTGAACATCCGAAATTGAGCGGCTCCCATTAGGTGTGCATCGGCATCATCGCGAGTGTGATAGGCGTAGGAACTTAAGAATTCCAAATTTATAGCTTCGTAGGTTGGTGTGTTCATCGTGCTTATAAAGCTCATGCCAGCTTTGTTCAGCAAGCCTTGCATATGGGTTTGCAACCCCAATTCTTGAAAGCAGTTGTTGTCGATGAACCTCGTGGATGTCAAACCTCGACGATGGAATTTTATGTATCTTTCTTTTTGAAGTTCGCCTATTTCTCCTTGTCGGAGCACGAGATGGCGCATGTCGGGTTCGGCTTGGTTTGGTGGATTTCTTCGGGCGGCCATGATTTTGAACTTGATAGAGAAGAAAAATGTATTTGTGATGAAGAGATGGAAGGTGGGTGGTAGTGATGAAAACTAAGGGATGGGAGAAGGGTTTATATAGATGGTTTTTATTGAGTATGAAATTGAATGAGGTTTATGGGAGAATTATGAATATGAGAGGTTATGGAAGTTAAGGATGGATGGAGTAATGGGGTAGTGGGGGTTTTAAAACAAAATTTCGTTCAAGTTTCAATGATTCAACGGTCACGGGAAGAGAATCGTGGGAGACAGGATTCTGACGCTCGTCACGCGTTCCCTGACGTTCGTCAGGGTCAAAGAGACAAGCTCTGACGCTCGTCA